TATGAAAATTCCCAGAGACTAATGTCCTTCTGGGTTTTGTTTATTTCTGCTGGTTGAGTGGTGACTGCCAACATGGGGACCGTGTAGGTACTTCGCCCATCCCAGACCTGGTGTTGAGCTTTAGGTTAGGAACCGCACTTCACATGGACCCACAGCACAGTCCCCAGCTGAACATCTGGAGAAACAGGTCCCCGTCACAGGATTCAGCCTTTCAGTTTCCTGGTGTTGTTTTTGCTCTAGATCTACATGCGTTGTGACTGTACTTATACTGTAGGAGTTAGCGGTCCTCATTTTGCAGGTGGCTATCCAGTTTTTCAGCATCATTTATTAAGATTATACCTGCTCTTATGTGCTGCCATTTACAACTTGTAAATGAGCATCTGACTATACTTACATGGCTCTGCTTCTCAGTCCTTTTCTGTTCTTCGGATCTATTTGTCTGTTCCATTGCCTGCTCTGTGGGAAGTTCTGTTTCTCTGTTGTACTGGCCACTCGAGGAAGTCTTTGTCAATCCTCCAACAATGTGCGTCTTTAACGTTGTATTGATTAATATGAATCTTTTGACTTTTCCTATGAACTTTGGAATCAACTTATTCACATGTACAAAATAAGTTGCTGACAGATTTTGGTGGGTGTTAAATTGAAATTATGGATCAAGGTGAGATGAGTTGACATCTTGGTACTGCTAACTTGGCCTATGCATAAACAGGCAAACTTCTCTATTCTGTGTTGTTTATCTTTCATCAGTTTTGTGAGTTCAAATTTCACTAGATCTACACCTAAGTTCCCCTCCCCGTGTGTGTGTGTGTGTGTGTGTGTGTGTGTGTGTGTGTGTGTATGTGTGTGTATGTGTGTGTTAATGTGAAAAGTACTGTTTTAATTTCAAATTCTGTTTATTTATTGCTGATAATTGAAAAGTAGTCACCTCTTGTGTATTTGTCTCATATCCTACAACTCTGTCATGGTTATTCAAGGAGATTTTTTTTTGCACTGATTCCTTTAGATCTGTTACATAGCCTATGCTATTCATTATTTGATTCCCTTTTTTAAAATCTTTTCTCCTTTTTTGTCTTTTTGGGGGGAGGGTTGTTTGTTTGTTTGTTTGTTTGTTTGTTTGTTTGGTGTGTGTGTGTGTGTGTGTGTGTGTGTGTGTGTGTGTGTGTGTGTGTGTGTTTGAAAACAAAGTTTCTCTATATAGCTCTGGGTGGCCCAGAACTTGCTATGTAGACCAGGCTGGCCTCAAGCTCACGGAGATCCACCTGCCTCTGTCTTCCAAGGGCTGGGATTAAAGGCGTGCCCACTATGCCTTGCTCCCTTTCATTTCATACAGCTGAATTATCCATAGAACGTTTTGTTTTCTTTCTCTTTGAAAATCTTTGAAAAAGTTTCTGACAATGCAGATCTACTGAGAGCAAATTCCTTTCTTTCTTTCTTTTTTTAAAGAACACCTTGCGTATTAGATACCTGTTTTGTTTATTTGTTTTGCATTTATCCTGTCTGATGTTCTCTGGATGGTTTACACACAGCATTAATTTGCATAAATTGTCTGTCATTAACTGCTTACAATGTCACTTTTGTTACTTTTGAAAGGTTCTCCCTTTGGTAATGTCACTGCATGAGAGTCACTGTTTTCTTTCTCTTGTCACATGGAAGTGACCTCCACCTGTTTTAAGGCAGGGTCTCTTTGTCACTTGCTGCTGCATACTCCAGGCTAGCTGGCATGCAAGATCCTGGGGATCCTCCTGTCTCTGAATCCCATCTTGCCATGGGGAAACTGGGACTACATAGAAGTGGATTCTGGAGATGTGTACTCAGGTCCTCACACCTACACCTACATGACAGGGCCGTTACCCACTGGGCCATCCTTCCTGCCTTGGTATATCACTTCTTCACTCTTACATATAGCGGGCTCTTAGGTAATTTGTCTCAAAGTTCTTGGTAATAGATTATGGTTATAAACACCTTTCATCTATCGGGGACTGTTATAAATATAATCACTCTTAAACCTCATGAAAGCACACCATTTTTTGTCCCATTTTATAACAAAGAAACTGAATCACAAAGAGTTAAAAGAACAGCCTTGAGCCCAAATTCACTGTGTTTTACCTGACCCTGGAGCATGTTCTCTATCTAGACCACCACAGTCTTTTGTTACATGACCCCTAAAAATCCTCACAACATTCTGACCTGATTTAATCATGAAGAAATTTAGATCTTCCAACAGATTATTCTAGCTGTGTAGATCTCAGTTTACTATTCCACCATCCAAAATCGTGGCATCTGAATCTCCTACAATTCATTGCAAGAACACAGCTGTGCTTTCATTGGTTTGCACAGAAACATCAGTATGTTCACATAGAAACACACAAAAAAAACACCGTCCCAGACACTCCTGAAGGCCTTCCTCATTCTGCCAGAGGCACTCACATTGGCCGAAGAGAAGACAGTACTGGGAAAAGACTCCTGTATTCATATGAACGGAAACAGGCCCACTGCTTTCTATGACAAATGAGAGCTGAGTCTTACATAAATAGAACATTAAGAACACTAATGTCTGAAGCCAATCTATGTTGTTCTGATTCTGCTATATACACATTGAGGTTCGCCATCAACAGCGGACAAGCCAACAGTGATCCCTGCCAGAGGCTTCTGCCAGCTGTCTCCATGAATGCAGGGTCTGTTCCACAGCCGCCCTGTCTAGTTGGAGTTCCAATTGACCACACAGTTCCTTCTTTCTTCAGGGCAACATGCATTATCTGCACCGCTAAACCATTTTCTTTTGCTGGAAACTAATCCAGAATGGAAACATACAGAGAATATTCAGATTTCATTGGAGTTCACATTTCTAGACGCTGGGGTCTGAATATTTCTGTCTTTTCCCCCAAATTCTTGTGCTGATACCCAATCTCCAAAGTGAGGACTTGGAAAGTAAGGGGATCGTGAGGGTGGAACTCTTGAGAATGAGATTCAAGCCCTATAAAGGAATTCCAGGCAGAGAGAACCCCGCAAGAAGGCAACAGGAAGCTGACTCACACTCCCACTGCACTCCCAGCAGACAGCAGTACACTTTTGTAGAATGGAAACTACCCGGTCAAGTATTTTATCATGGCAGCCAGGAAGACTCGAGACAACTAATTTGGGTTACAGGGGCAACAAAGGGAGATGTTGAAATATCCAAATGTACGCTAGTTAGTATGTTGTTCCCTTTTATCATCCAGGGCTCAGCTTGAGATGATTGGTCAACATTTGGAACATTATACCACCAGGAATTCTGTATGCCCCACCCTAGCCTCGCATGCTTGAGAAAGGGCTCACATTTCAGATGTGTGCACGTGTGCGTGTGCGCGTGTTCGTGTGTGCATGCGCATGTGCATATGTGTGTGTGTGTGTGTGTGTGTGTGTGTGTGTGTGTGTGTGTGTGTGTAGATACATGTCTCCATCCATCCCAGGGCTCAATAAAGAACAGTACTGGAAATGCTTTTCAACAAGTCACTTTGGATTTTGTTTTGGTATGGTATCTCTAACTTTTTATGTCTTAAAACACAAGTGTTAAATGCTTTTTGTTTAATAAATTTGAGGATAATAAATACCTAATTAGTTATGATAGGTTTTCTGGGTATATTTTTGACATAGCTAGGGTTTCTTTTATTCATTCCTTGGTTATGGACACGTGCTTTGGTTCTGCACCTGCCTGGGTGTCAGAGCAAGCACCCAGAATAGCAACAGCATGTTATAAAGCTTACCAAAGGGGAAATCACTTGGAGAGGAGAATAGGCTAAGAAGAGATGAGTACCATATTTTCTCAACAGAGCCAAAAGTGAGGATAGTTGAAATGCTGGCCTGATCTTGTGTGATCCCTTCTTCCCTAGAGTGTAGGGTTTCCTCATGTTCCGCTGGCTAGCAGACATTACACAAATGTTAAACCCTGTGTACTAGGGGCAGGACCAGAAAAGGTGAGCCTTCCAGGCAGGAATATTCTAAAACACGAGCCTGTAAGTTTGTGTTTGTTTAGACGCTTCTTGCACCAGCGTGCACATAGTACACCAAGAATCCCCGAGACCTTTCCTACACAGACATCATAGACCAGGATGCTCCTCATGCGGGAAAGGAGCAGCAAAGGCCATGACTCTACAGAAGCAGAATGTGGACAACTTATGAGAGATGAAAATTAAATACTCTGAAGACAAGACTTTGTCTAATTCATACAAGGTGCCTTACAGATTGCTTGCCTTTTGTTCGTTCTGGGTATCTCTCTTGCCTCTTCTGGATTCGGGGAGGAAGTTTCAGTGGATGCAATCCTTCATCATTTCTGCACACATCCTTCAGGGATGCCCCCACAGGCCATCCCTAGGATGCAGGGGTGCTGGTGAGAGAGTGGTACTAGGAAAGGAGCGATGCACAAGGGACCCAGATCACTTGTTCTTAGCATCCTCCCTCATTGTCAGGGACCGAGGGGCAGTTCACTGTGTTTCCATTGGGGTTTTCTGTGGCCAACCAATTGGAATATGTCAACCCTAAACATAGTGCCTTCCTTGCTCTGTTTAGAACGGTGTCTTTGTTCACTCCAACGCAACAGCCCAAGAGGGCTGGGCTTGTGGCAGATACAGGCAGAATAATCACTGATTACAGGGAGCAATTCTTAAGCAGACACACTCTTGGATTAACCACGATGAGGCTGTCATTCACATCATAGAGCAAACAAGGACAACTGATTGTTACACACGGCTGGGCCTCTTCTTGGCTTTATTTTTCCTTAACTAGGAACGCATGCGGACTGGTGTGGGCCTCAGGGAATTTCAGAAACAATTAAAAAGACAGCTTGGAGAAGTAAAATAAAGAAGGTTATTTCTATTGTATAAATAGAATAGGTGATGTTTTTTGAAAGGAAGAAGTAAAATAGGAAATAAAATAAATAAAATAAAATAAAATAAAATGTCCTCTTGGCTCACGGTGACCCAGGAGTTCTGGGATGGACCTCCCCGCCAAGGTGCCCTGCTCACCTTGTAGTGATCCATGATCTCAGCTAGCCAGGGCTTCACCGACTGCACTGTGTCCTCTCTCAAGTACTTCTCGACCTCGGCACCGTCACTGAAAGTCCGGTTGCCCACATGGATGGCTTGTCTCACTTGTGGGAGTGACAAGAATTTCCCGTAGTAACCTTGGTCCTCCGGTTCCTGGCAGAAGGCACATCAGAAGGTGTCATGGAGGAGGATGACAGGCATGGCCTAGCGGGAAAGCTGAGACTTTCTCACAACACACAGCGCGGTAAACAGGACGTGACTAAACTGTTAACTTGTCCTCAGGCTTGACATTTTAATGGGGCACCCTAGTCAGGTAAGAGGAAGAAGCCTTTCGCTGAGGCCAAGCACAGAGGCTCTCCTCAGTTTGCAGTCTGTATCCCGTGTGCCTGGGGAAGGGCTTTTCTCCCTCACACTATCCTTGCAGCCCTACCGTCTAATCAGCCAGCTCAATGGTGAGAATCCCGGAGAAAGGAAAGAGAGTAGACTACGTAAATCAATCACTCCTTGACCTTGGCTCTGTGTGAGTTGGTAAAGATGCTTTTAAGGGACCAGGGGCAGCAGAGTGGGTTAAAGCCAGGGTGTGCTTGCCATTTTCTGCTGATCACTAATATCGCTCTCGCCCCTCCCACGTGCAGTCACCTGATTATAATTTATGGGGGGGATTATATCATAGGCAAAATACTGATACTTAGTAAAAGACATAAAGCAAGTTACCCACAGCCCTTTTTAAAAACCAAACCCCGCCTCCCAAAAAAAACCTACTCAAAAGTCTCTGTAATAATCATTAAACTTTAAAGAAAAAGGAGCAAATGTTCATTTTTTTAAAAAATTCTCTAGGTTACAAAAATACTGTTTAGGATTTATGTTCAACAATTCTGTGCTTCGTCAGCAATTTTTTTTTTTTTGGCTGTGAATATATTACTTTCTACAGAAAAACATTATAATCACAAATTCTGTTTCTCTGTTTCCTGCCATGTTTTGTTATTGTCCAAAACCACAGGGCTGGGAATCCCACCAAAAGTAACTTAAAATTTTACTTACAAATAGCTCATAAATAAGGCAATTTAAAAACCAAATGTATTGTCCTGGGTGGTAGACAAGGAGTCCACACACCCGAACTGCCAAGCGGGCTCTCCTTATTCACTTAACTCTACACAAAAGATGTCAGTCAACTCTGGCCTACTTTTATGAAAGAAACTACTTGAATACTTTAAAAAGTATTCCAGAGGCCTTGAAGTGAGGGCGGTCCTAAATGTTCTAAACACCTCAAGTTCAAAGTAAGACAAGGCAAATATTTTCAGGGAGGCTTGGGTAGTGTTGATTACCTCAGCCATCTTAAGTGCATAACAAAGAACCTGGATGTTTTCAAGAGACTCAGATTGAAGCCTTAACCCAGCACTCAGGGCTGCAGTCCCAGCCTGCACCCTTCCCAGAGCCCCTCCTCCCAGGGACAAGGTCTAGTAGGGACACTGAGTTAAACAGACACCATTCTGCGCTGTCTAGAATATCACATATTATGGGTGGCACTCTAAGCAGCCATGAGAAACAAGTCCCAGGGGTCAGGAGACAAAATTATGCAATACACGATGGACATGGCCATCCAGTTCAAATTGAGCTATACTTTCCCATCAGAGGCTGTTTGGGTTTGCCCAAAGTTTGAAGCAGACATGACTGTGTTTTTAAGACGTCGTTACCGTGCACTGTAAAAGGTTGTAGTAATTGGTACACCCTGTCACATTCTGGAAGTAGGATGGATCATTTGTTAAATCACTGTCCAGCAGCTTATCCAGGATCTAGGTCAGAGAGGGAGAAGGGAAGGACAGTGTCAGGGAGGTCTAGCAGGCACAGCCCTTGTTGTAGCATGCAGTCAGGACGTCTGTCTTTCTCACTTTTCTTTTTGTTAGGATGTGTGTATCTATAGGTGTGTGTTTATGTGTTTACATATGTGTTCATATGCATGATATGCATTTGCATGCACTCACATATACGTGGAGGCCCAAGGACAGCCTTGGGTATCATTCCTCAGGCACTGTCCACTGTTTTCTTTGAGACAGGGTCTCTTACCCACCTAGGACTCACCAAGTAGCATAGATTGGCCTCCCCAGCACAAGCCCATGCCACCATGCCCAAGCTCTTGTTTATACTTGGGTTATGGGACTCATATTCCAGGTCTTTGGGACTGCATGACAAAAATCTTCCCAACTGAGCTCTCTCTCCAGCCCCTACATTTTAAAACCTTTCTCATTTCACTTCCTGAACATTTGTAACAGGCGAACGCCATCCCTCGTAGAACTTACATTCTCGGGAAACAAATAAGCATGGCAAGGCAAAATGCATCAGGTGTTAGAGCCATATGTGCGTTGGGGACGGTAAGGAGAAGAATGGGAGGTGTTATGGGTGTGTCTGTCTACGGGTAGGGGGCACTGAAAAGCGAAGTTTCACTTAGAAGATGGCATTTGAGTTATGACCCATTGCCTGGCAGAAAGCCAGGAATATAGACAACCAGGGGAAGACTATTCTAGGCAGAAGACACTAAAACCAGATGCTTCAACTCGGGAGTTTGCCCAGTGAGAGGGATTGCCTTCACAGGGTCGCTAGAACACTCACCCACAGCATGAGCAGAGAGGGCATGGAATGTGGGCTGAGATTCAGGGTCTTAGAGCTGGTGGCAGGTATCTATAGACTCCAGGCGGGTATCTATAGACTTCATCACCAGTGTGGAAAGGTGGTCACCATGGCTGTTGGCTTTTCTCCAGCCATGGGCTGCTGAACAAGGACCAGCATGGAGGCAGCAAAGAAGGAGCATCAGCCAGGGTTTCGGCTTAGCCAAAGAGGTTGGAGGAAGCATTAGCGGAACTCAGTGGCTGAAATGTGTGGATCGACCTGGGTTTAGGTTGGGTACTCAGAGAAATGAAGACTTAGGGCTTAGGGCTCACGAAGAGGTGGTGGTTCAATGGGCTGAGAGGCACGGGAGCTGGACAATGGCTTCAGCTGGGTTCATGAACATAAGTAGGCCGGAGGGATAAGATGTGGCAACTGAATCAAGATATTTCAGCTTCAGAGTGTGGGTGATGGCTCTGGCAGCTCTTCGGTTGTTTATTTACTTGGTTGTTTTTCTGGGTTTTGTTTTGTTTTGTAGCAGGAATAAGTAACTAAAGGGGAGAACAAGGCTGCTAAAGAACACAAGAATTGAATATTAAAACATCACCCTGGTGGATACTACAGTTGCCAGGAATTGTGTTGGGAGTGACAGTGAGCCAAACCAGCCAGAGAATGTGAGGAGAGACCAGGGAGTAAACAACTGGCCCAAACAGTGCTTGGTGGCACCCTCTGAGGCTAAAATAAAATGCTCAGTGCTTTAGGAGGAAGAGGAAAGTGTTCTGGAAGCAGCAGTGAGGAAGGAGGGAGATAGCTACCCCACCTATGGGTCAACAGGGGAGAGCTGCGTGTGTGTGTGTGTGTGTGTGTGTGTGTGTGTGTGTGTGTGTGTGTGTGTGTGTAGCATGTTAGGAGAGTGTCAGGCCTGGGTTAAAGCAGGAAGAAGAAGAGAGGAGGAGGAGGTGAAGATATGTCTTCTCTTTCTACTGCTGTTGCTGCTGTTGATGATGTATTTTAAGAGGGTCCTCTGAAAGGACTGTATGACGTGAATGCAACACATTCTGAAAACCATCAAGAATGAGTTAAGCTTATTATACGATAAAATAGCGTTATCCTAGTGTTGGGTGAGGAAATTAGGATTTACAGAAGTGCAGTAACTTGCCAGGGTACCCACTGATAAAGGCATGAGTGAGACGCTAGCCCCTCCACGGCTTCAGCCTGCACCCCCCCGTCCTCAACACCTCTGGCTGTGCAATGGCCCCACATCTGGCTGTATAGAGATGAGGGGTCTGGATGAAGAAGGAGAAGGGTAAGAAACCATGCAAAGTGAGCTAGGCAAACCAAGGATTCTGCTCCAGGCTACATCTGGAGAAATACCCATACTCCAACCTTCACAGAGTGGAGATACCTTCGTGTTAAATAATGAATCCACAGGTTCATAGCCCAGAGCTGGTGTCTTTCTTTTATTTGCCCACTCTAGGATAGAAGTTGTACTGAATGTGCACATCATTTGTGGAACTCATCTTTAGAAGCCATCCTCAACACCAATGAGAATGTAGGTTAAACTTTTTTTTTTTTTTAGGTTTTTTTGAGATAGGGTTTCTCCATGTAGTTTTGGTACCTGTCCTAGATCTCACTCTGTAGACCAGGCTGGCCTTGAACTCACAGAGGTCTGCCTGGCTCTGCCTCCTGAGTGCTGAGATTAAAGGCATGGACCACCGCCGCCTGACTAGATTAAACCTTTAAAGAGTCAATTTGCTGGGGCTAGGGTGGGAGGTTCATTGATAAAGTTCTTGCCCTATAAGCACGAGGACCCAAGTTCAATTCTCAGTACCCATGTCTAAACCCTGGTGCAATGGTGCTTACTAATAATGTCCGAGTTTTAAAGATGGAAAGAGGGAGATCCCTGGGTTCTGAGGCAAGTGAGAGACCCTGCCTCAAAAAGCAAAGTGGAGTGAAGAACACATCTGACATCAACTTCTGTCCTCCACAAGTGCATACGTAAGCACGCATCTGTGCTCGTATGTATGCACATGCACATACATGTGTGCATACATGCTAATTTTTAAATGAAAAAAAATAGTAGGTTTGCTTCTACCAAGAAACAAAATCACTTAACAAGTGATTGCAGTAACAAGTAATGCAGCTAGTTTATTCAGTCTTTTGAAATCTACTTTCTAATCAAAACTTGTTTCACAGAGAATGTTCTGTGATTCAGAGCATCAGGAAGGAGAGAGGGGGAACCAGAGATCAGCCATTTTACTCTTGGAGAATTGTGAGGATGCCCCAGGAGTTTTATGGAATACCCAGGAACTACTGCAGAAGGGAGAAACACTGGGCTAGGAGTCAGGCCAACCCATCGCAGCCCTAGGCCTCCCACAATCTACAGGTACCCTTCTACGACTCATGACTCTCCTCTGTGCCCAGCATCCCCACCAGTGTGTGTGCAGGGATGGCATTGCCTGTTTCCCATGTTCTCACCAGCTGTTACTGCTCTTTTACTAATTGATCCATCTTTAAAAACCAGAACCCTGGGTCAGGAGGAGGAGGCCCAGCCATGAAGAGCACTTGCTGTTCTTGCAGAGAACCCATGTTCAGTTGCCAGCACGTACATGGTGGCTCACAAGCAACTGTAACTCCAGTTCTGAGGATGTGATGCCTTGCTCTGTCCTCAAGGGGCACCAGAAATGCATGTGGTATGCAGATATACATTCGAGCAAACACTCACACACATAAAATAAAATAAGTAAAATTTTAAAATAAGAGTCAGAACATCAAACAGGCTGAGTCTCTTGGACTTGAGATTTTGGAAATCTGTCTCCTTTTGAACTGCACAATGTCTTAGCATCTTCGGCTAATGTACTAAACACTGCTTTGTCTGTTTCCTTTGAAAACTCAGAGGATTTAATCCATCTCAAGATCTTGGATCAGTGATTGAAGAGACATCTCATACCCTCAAGGAATGACAATGGAGGTCTTTTAAGTTTCTACTGAATTTGGTTTAGGAGAGACCCTTGGGCCATAGCCTCATTGTCTCCAACTGTACAAAATACTCATACTTTTCAATAGTTTTCCCAGCCTGTAAGTGTCATAGCTGTCACATCATGTGCCACGGACATCATTTTGCCTCCTTCTTTCAGGTCTCTCAGCTGGTCTTGACACTGCTTAACAATCTCTGTGAGCTCCTTCGAGCCCATAGCAAATGTCTCTCTCTTGCAAATTAGTCTCACACCACATAAAGCTTGGTAGTAATTCTCAATTTTCAAGCTTTCTTCTTTTCCCCATCTCTAGCATAGCAGGCAGCCTAAAACCCAACGCCTATCTGGAAGATACTATTAATGTCCATGAAAGCATGTATGATCTTACATGCTCACAAGACAATCCCGATTCCTTTGTGTTTACATCTGCACAAGGCATCTGACTCCACGCTTTGCAGCCACATCTGGTACCCTGACACAGAAAGGAGTCTGTCAGCATCCTGCCTAGGGCTGGGACTTCCCTTTCTCAAGCCATCTGCACAGCTTGCTGTTCCCAGACTCCATAGCAAACCAAGCCACCTCCATGAGGGGTCCATCCTGCAATCCTACTCATAAAATGTGCATCACTGTGAAGCTGCTTCTTTTCTCTCTAGGTTTGTATGTCTCCTGTTTTGATCATAATTGGCACATTTGATGCACCTGAAAAATCTATTAACATCAAGCCTTGGTCACAATGACTTTAGGTACATAGAATATGAGTCTAATAGCAAGCATATAGAGGTCCTCGGAGTCCAGCCCTTGTCTCGTCTACCAGCATGTCAGACAGGATGGTTCTACAGATGTGTAGCAAAATCACCCAAGGAAGATTGCTTACTCTGCTTTTACATTGGCTGAAACATGCAAGTTTCCTGTATCAAAGTGTTAAGTATAACCCCAGACCTTAAATAACCCAAATCCAAATCATATCATCACTTTGTTCAATTGTTAGGTTAACTGTGTAATAATATTCACACACACACACACACTATTTCTGTTGGGAGATCTTTCCCATTACACTACACTTTGTAGTCTTTGATCCTGACACTTGAAAGCACGGGACTTTGGTTACACACCAGGTCACTTCTCCAGTTGAAGCCCTGCTTGTGGACATAACCCTTCTAAATGTTTCCAAGCATCTGTTGAAGCTCAGGCATCCACTTCCCAGGTTGCCTTGCTTCTGATTTCCATATGCTACAGGACCCCTTCAGGTCCCACAGAGCATTTAAGGAAGTCAGAACAGCTCATGAAAGACACAGATAGGCATGCCAGGATGATCTTGGGCTGAAAACAGCCAAAGTGAATTCAGAGAAACGCAGGCAATGCTTTTCTTCGTGCCCACTCGTCCCTCCTCCTGATCTTAGACAGAGGAGGGGATAGATACCATCCCCAACGCTGGAACCGCATGGTGTGCCTCCTGACCCCGCCTATCCTCAGATGGTTTTAATTGCTGTAGGGCAGCCGGGGGCCCCAGAACTCACTTCAAAGGCCTTCAGCCAGTGCTGATCTTTGATGTATTTTATGCACTTGTTGCACTCCTTCTGGAAGTGCTTTTGCTGCTGCTCATCCAACAAGCCAATTTGGTACAGGAATTTCGCGTACCCTCCTATAATCTGGGGACAGAAGAGACAGGCGTGAACACCAGAGAGAAGAGGTCAGGACACCCTGTGCCTCGAGAAGAAACACTTTGCAATGACCTCTTCATGTTTGCTGGAATTAGTCAAGGCGGACAATTATACACACAGCCATATACAACAGAAAAGTCACACATACAGCACAATGCCTACAGATGTACAACCTGGCATTCATTGGCAACCAATGAGGCTTGAACAGTAAGTTGACGCACTGAAAGGTTTAGTTAAGAATTAGATTGGGGCTAAGTTAACATTGCCTTTTAACAAGTTAGGCCTCTGAGGTAAAAGTGGTGTTCATCCAATTCAAAGGAATTAGTCTCTGTAAGGGACAGATTGAGAAAGAAAAGGCGGGTCACCAACCGATTCGGGATCAGAGTATGCATCTCCAATGGCAATTCCTTCCAGGCGGATCTTGAACTCTCTCACGGGGTTGAGGGAGTGGATATAGTGTGCTATGGCCGGCACATACTTCCCTGCATAAGACTGAGAAGAACAGATGTTGAAATGACAGTCCCAAATTGATCCACACACAGCTGCATGTGTTGAAGCTAATTAACAATAATTATTTCCATCCATAGCTTCGGCTCACTTTGAAAATTCTACAGTAACAAAGAGCTTTACTCTTACCTCTGTTCTCACACCATATGGCCCTAAGTGACATGGAAAACACATAAATACCATGTTATCATGGAACATTCTAATGTCCTTCAAAACAAAATGAATGACCTAGAGCACTGGACACACAATTCTATCACCTGCTGGGTGTCTCTTCCCACAGTCTTCTATTCCAACTTTTACTAAAGGAAAGAAAAAAAAAACTCAAGTCTAAACCTAAGACTTAAAAATCTGCATAATGATGCAAAATTTAAAATCAGTGTGTATTGAAGGAATAGGAGAAGGGACCAACCCAATAACATTGGTCACAGATTTTCTTTGAACTTATCTGTGTGTTCCAGCTTTTTCTAGCACAGGATCCTTTTTCCAGGCAAATTATTTTATGAGCAATTTTCTTATAACAACACAGTACTTCCACTTTCAAACTATTTCAGCAAGTGCCATTATTGATTCAGTCATACAGATTTATATTTTTTATTACATACAATTTATTTATTAGGGGGGCGAGTCAGAGTCGAGTCTCTCTTTCCAGCACATGGGCTCCAGAGATGAACCTTAGGTCATCAGACCTGGTTGGAAGCACTTTTTTCCTGCTGAGCCCTCTCACTGGCCCACTCAGTAGTATTTGGAAACACAGTTTTGATTAATTCGACCAAGAGTTGTCTTCATGGCTTGTCCAGCTGTTTATCCAACTGTAAACTCCATATGCTCAGAATGAAGGCCCCAATCCTGAGTCTTCCCGTAACCTCCCTTGTGATTCATGTTAACTTTGTTCTGAATGTGCCGGCCAAAAATCTCAGTATCAATTTTTGTATTTCTTTCTCTTGTACCCCTTAGAGTTCACAACGAGGCATGTCAGTCCTATCTATCCTATCAAATGCACCTGGAATACAGTGTCTTCTTCCATGTCTGGTTCCTTGCCCTACTTCAGGTCACCATCACACTATCTGCAGCCTTGGTGACTGCAGCAGCTTCCAGAGTGGTCTTCTTTGGCCCCAGCCACTTTATTTTCTAGACAGTGGTACAGCTAAAGCACAAGCCAGCCCATGCGACCCCTCTGCTTAAATCTTTCTGTGGCTGTGTACCGGAATCAAAGCAGCGGGCTGTATTTGAGACATGAGGTCTAATGTGAGCCTCTCCTTTCCCCAGCCTCACCCCATGCTACCTTCTTACTCAATCCTTTCTAGCCCCACTGGGGGCCCGAATGCTCCCCATGTGCACCAGGGCCTTTGTGCTCATCTCTCTTTGCACCTGGAATGCTCTCTCCCACGTATCTGGGTGGTTCATTCCCTCATTTTTTTTTTTTTAAGTCAGGCTGCCTGAGCAATGACTTCTCTGGCCTCTCACCAAAAATTTAATAGTCCTGTTTTCTTGTTTTATATCCTTTGCTTTCCCACTTAATCCTCACCCTTCCTCAACAAACACTTAGCTACTCATCAGCTTACATCATCATGCTTGCCCCCATCCTCGAAGATGCCTGAACATAAACGTAGCATCTACTGTGCTTATTTTTATTCATGCTGCCTGATGCTGCTAGTGTCCAATAAATAGCTGTGAAACTAATGAGTCCATGTGCATCTGGAAAAGGGCAATGCACAGGTAGACTAGAGGCCTTAGACAAGTATCTGTGAGTCCACAGACCTTCTATGACATTCCCAAGGCTCTTCACAGGCTTGGAACATCTGGCTGCTCTAATTGATCTATATCATAATCCCAGTCACAGGTTGCAAACACCACTGTCCTCCCTTCAAGCTAAGACACAGGACTTGGAGAGGTTAAGTGGTAAGAGTCACACATGGTCCGATCTACTCCAAAAGTTTAAACTCCCTTTTACCAAGCTGATAAAAGCAGGTAATTCACATAACTTATCCGAGATCTTGTTTGCACAGCCAGCCCTCTTGTGCAAGAGCAGTTCCTTAGGTAAAGCAGTGAATCAAAACACTTCCAGCATTCATTCTTAGGAATCTGTTTCGGTTTCCTTGTGGCAGTATAAAGATGGGATTATATGTCTGAAGTTTGGTTTGCTGCATAACTGTGCAATATGATCTTGCTAGTGGAAATAAGTGAAGGTTTATCAAATGTCTGTAAGATAATACATTTTCCTGAGCAATGGCTTCGCTGATAAATGTGTCACCCAGACTTCAGTCAACAAGGGCTTCTGGGTCAAGGTCATTGTGCTAGATACTTGGGGAGACACAAAAAGGAATAAAACACAAAAATGTCCTTAGAAGGGCCATAGTTACTTCTAAAGAACATCATGGAAACCCCATCTCCCACCCACCAGAGCAAACATATGATTCATGAACGATAGTCCCATGATGTGCACAATGACCAGGGCAAACCAGGCCCATGCAAACACACTTGACACATGAGTGATCTCATATTACCTCTAATTATTTTTATCCAAAGAAATTGGTACAGAAATGTACTGAGTGATAGTATCTCCTGGGTTGTCTTCTTGTTACTTTTGGTAAGTGAAATGTATCCTTTCTGAAACGGAAGGCCACGTCCTTTACATAGCTATGTAGTCAGTGGTGGTAAACTTAGTGTAAAACATCCAGTGTGTGGACCCTTCCTCCCGGTCATTACATGTGAGACATAGCTAGGTAAGAAATGAAAAAGGACCCTGCATTGTAATACCCATTCCAGAATTGGAGCCTCATCCATGAACCAAGCCATTCCACTCATCCTAATATGAGCCCATGCACAATACACTTCATTTTCTTACATTTTGCAACAGTGAAATGAGGTCTGTGCATGTTAATGGCATGCATAGCTGGAGTTCTCCCCAGGCATGGCTGCTTCCACAACTCTCACTTTCTCTAGCAAATCGCATTTCAGTCAGTGGTCACAGAGTGTCCTGTGGCTCTCGGGTCCCATGCTGGGACCTGTTTTTATCTACCCCATGCTTACTAAGCAGGCCACTCATGACAAACAGGACAACGAGATGGATAATTCTATAACCACCATATTCTTCAATATTCATCCCACATCCGCTGTCCTAGCGGTGAGGATGTTTATCTCATTCTTTGTTTCTAATGACTATCACACACTTCCTTGCTTTGTGTCAGTGTGACAAATTCTTCATTGTCTTGTTCATTAATCATTCCATTGGCTGAGTGACTCAGGCTGTCACACAGTAGACAATTACAGGATTATTATATGGGGAATCAACACGTTATAGCGAAATTTCCATTATTTTTTGCATTCCTTGCTGGGATATATTTCTTTGTGTTTTCAAAAGCAGACTTCTTATTCTGGAATCATTTATTTCTCTGCTTAACTATGCACTGACTATCACAAACACTTTGGAAGAGAACAGGTTAACAAATCAAGTATTTTTTGTTTTACCTCCCCACTCCTTCTGTATATATCTTAAAAAGAGTAAAACTTCATGTTTGGGGGGAGTATCTGCCTTAGAATCCGACTATGGCTGCCGATGTCATTACTTTGGACCTAGACATAAGAACACTTGCTCCTTTGGTTCTGAGTTATTCCCTTAATGAGGACAGTAATGACCACAACCAGAATTCCAGTCCTGAGCCTTCTCTGACCTCCCAATGGTGCTCCTCAGTGTGACCACCAGCAGGCCAACAAAGCCCCTGAAGTCTGCAAATTAATAGTAACCTTCCACCCCCGGATTCAACACTGGCCTTATAAAAGCTCAGAGCAACATCAAAGCCATTCTAACGGGGAGAGGGGAAAGTGCTGCCTGCGGGAACAGACACATTGTGTTAGCATTTGGCAGTGACCTTTGAGCAAGGAACTCAGCCAGATAAGCATATACGTCTCACACAGCAGCTCAGGAGAGGTTAGCAATCAACACATCTGGATCCCAGTCTCGCCTTGGGATTCCTTGCAGATATTTAAAGGCGCTGCAAGCTGCCAATTCCAGCACTGTGTGTGTTTAGCTCACTTTCCCCGTGGGGACTGTAATCCCAGTCACCTCCATCAAGAAGAACCGGGGACTTTGGGCTGTGTTTGCTTCCGTTTGCTTCATCTGCTGAAGCTCAAAGAAGCAACAGAGCTCGGATTCTTCTCCTGTATCAGAAGCGTGGCAGAGTTCAGCTCTCAGTCCTTTATTCTGCCCATGAGAGAAGGGTCTCAAGAGCATAGCTGAATGTAGTTTTGACTCTTGGTCTGCCATCCCTGTGAATACTTACATGGTGTGGGGGACAGCTTCCCGGAAATCATGTCAAGAGCTTACTGTACTTGTAAAACAGTCTGCAGAGGATGTAGTGCTCGCCTAATTACCCAGATGTGTAAGCGTCCAATGAGAATCAACTTAATTGTGTATTCCATCTGAGTCTCTCCCTTCTTGTATGTTTCAACAGCATCACAGCTGACTTACTGTGTCCCTGCCATCCAGGTACTTTAAAGGAAGGGAAAAGATTTCATAGCTAAAACCAAGCTTCGGTTAGCTCCTTCAAAGAGGGGGTGGGGCTGACAATAACATTACATGGGAAGCAACACTCCTTTATATAAATGCTACATGTACCCATGGATTCTAGTGTTTAAGCCACATTCACCCACATTTGTGAAGTATAGCTTAAATTAAAAAAAAAAAACAGTGCAATTATATTCACTCGCTGCCTTGTTTCTAGGCATAAATTTGGGGGTAAAACATTCATAGCTTTAGCAGCGATGATAAGCAATGGTTTTTCAAAGAGAGACAGCTGCCCTGGACATAGATCCCTCATTCAGAGTTGGACACAGTCCTCATTTCTACCTGGCAGAAAAGGGCATGGAATTTGCAACCTCAGCAGCAGTGAATTGAGTGCCCTGAGGGTCATCCTGAGCACCCATCTCCCCAGTCACTCAGCTGGCCAAGATGCCCACCCCTTTGAAGAATTCACCACGGCTGAGCT